TCAGAACAGCCGGCATTGTAGTCTACTCTACCAGGATCAGGAAACAGTCCTCCTTAAAATACGCTGCACACATCGGAATATTTGGGTTAAACTGTTCAGGAACAGTGTTGTAAATACAACTTAACCACTGATTTCTAGTCGTGTCCTCTTTTGGAAGGCCAAACAAAGTAGTTTTGCTTTCACAACGAAACACAGCGTCACACACGGCGGCCTAGAGTGAGCGGAGGCCGGGGGCTAGAGTGAGCGGTGGCCGGGGGCTAGAGTGAGCGGTCACCAAGAGCTTGTAACACTCCAAAGAGAAAGGAAAAATTGAAATCGCATCATATGACCCCTTTAATAATTAAATTAATTACATGACATGCCATTTAATTAATCAAATTATTATCAGTGTTAATTACATAATAATATTAATTTGAATTGTTTATGTTTTAATATAGTAGTTAATAAATTAAATAAAAGTAAGCTGACTCTGATAACAATAACTGACATTATTGTAATGAAAGCATGGAATAGGCAAAAAGCTTTAGAACTCAGTATATCACAACAATATAACTTTTTTTATATATAATTATTGTCAAATCTTTGGTCTTGTCTTTTTTAATGAAATTACATTTTTAAAAATGAAATTGTGAGTTTTCCCTTATATGCTTAACCTAAAATCTTGGATGTTGGTTAAGAAAATGTACTGTGTATGACTCCTCACATACTAACCAATTACATAAACCAACTGCCAATATCCCTTGTTGACTCAAAAAAAAAATAATTTAATAAAAGTAAGCTGACTCGGACATTATTGTAATGAAAGCATGGAATAGGCAAAAAACTTTAGAACTCAGTATATCACAAGAATATTACTTTTTTATATATAGTTATTGTAAAATCTTTCATCTTGTCTTTGGTCATTGTATTGCACTTCACTGTATTGATTGATTGACTGTGTATGACTCCTCACATACTAACCAATTAAATAAACCAACTGCCAATATCCCTTGTTGACTCAAAAAAAAAAAAACAATGTTATTTTTATACTTTGATTTTTACATTTATGTGCACCTGCACATGTATGTGTATATACTATAGGAGTGACTGTTTGTCTCATGCTGTCTAGATCTGCAGCTAGATTATATAACACCCATTCACACACACATACACTCATGTCTGTGACCTACATCTAGCCGCCTGTATGCTTATGTGTGTGTTCTTACACTCATCACTCTTCCCACCAGAGGCACAGGAATGCACAGCACGCTGCTGTTGTTATGGCCTAGATTGACCCTTTCCCTCTTGTTTACTCTCCTCTTTTATCTTTTGTACTAGGTGAAAGTTAGAGTTGGGATACACTGAAAAAAAAACCTGTTGGATTAACATAAAAAAATATGTACATCGGTTGCACTTATTTTTATGTTCTCTCAACATAATTTATCTCTGTTTATGTTACTTAACTTTTGTTTGTCAAATGAACATGATTTTTTTTGTTGTTTTTATGCTTTTTGTGCTATGTACCTCCTGTTGATTCAACATGATTTTTGTTTAAATAAAAGCTTTAGTTTATGTTACTTAACTTTTGTTTGTCAAATGAACATGATTTTTTTTGTTGTTTTTATGCCATACCTCCTGTTGATTTAACATGGTTTTTGTTTAAATAAAAGCTTTATCCACTATAGGCAGTGGTGTTTTAATAAATTAAATAGAACTATGATAAAATGTACGATAAATCCAGATAAAATTAATAACAGAATAAAAAAAGCTTTGGTAAACTATAAGTACTACTTTTTAAATAAATAAAAGCATTTTAGCACCCTAATATTGTAGACTTTTAAGTAAGGCAATAAGCAAAAACATTTCTTGGAAAGAAATACTGCATTTTTTTCATTCCCCTCAACCCATGCCCCCCAAAAATTGCTTTACATAATACAATGTTACACAATAAGAACAATAAGAGCATAACTAATGTACTTCAAAAAACATTTCTACATTTTTTAGGAAGGACTTTCTTTGAAAGTGTGCTGATTTTAAAGCTCCACCATTATACACCTCAAAGAAATACTTCAAGGGATCAATCACCCAAAAATGAAAATTCTGGTATAATTTACTCACCCTCAAGTTGTTCTAAACCTGTATAAATTTATTTGTTCTGCTGACTCAAACATCCTTCAAAATACCTTCCTTTGTGTTCAGCAGAACAAACAAATTTATACAGGTTTGGAACAACTTGAGGGTGAGTAAATGATACCAGAATGTTCATTTTTGGGTGAATGTTCCCTTTCAGTTAAATGGGCAGTTGAATTCTGCAGTAGCTAATGCCAAGTTATCCAAATAACTGTAAGATTATCTGGCCCTCATTGACGATCCTGATGTCCCCTGGTCTATCATGGGCATTGTCTCCTCAATGCATTCTGGGATGAGGGCTTCATCTGCAGCCTGGAGAATGCACAGTTAAAAAATGAGATTCAGTACGGAAATATCAAACTTAATTTCAATAATTTAGTAATGTCTGTATCCTGAGAAATGTAAACTTGAATATAATAAGAACCAGTCATGGTCAACAAAGACTGATTACAGATAACTGTTAGACATCAGTTCTAGGATTGCGAATGGTAGGCCAAGAAATCCAATAGTGTCTTCCTACAACAAACTGTAAAATTATATTGCACACTTTGAATACGTACATGGATAATGGCAGAAATGTCCAAAGTGTGGATGTTTCGGTAACTCCAATCTAACTGCAACTGCTACTGTGCACCCTTAATACACTGACACATTCAATGGACAGGGAGAGAAAAATAATAGATTAATATTAACATTTGCAACATTGTCAGACAAAGATTTTAAAAGTAGCAAACATGTGATTTAAACAGATCAACTAAACATACAGATTACAGTATAGTTTCATAAATACCATTAATGTAGAGGCTTTGGACTGACAGTGAAGTGGATGTCAGTAAGTGCACTTGTCTGGTGAAATATCAGATCTCTGTAAAATATCAAAAGTATGCATCAGTTTTAAAACCGTTAATAATTATTTGAATTAAGACTATTGGATTATGCTCATCAAATTATATTAAGACACATATCATTCAAAGTAGTCATCAGAGATGTATACATGTCAGCATTCCAAAAAAACAGTCCAGCAGAATAAGGGGTCTTCACAGGACAGGAGAAACCAGACATCTAAACAGAACACATATTAAAATGTTAATTTTCTTTTAAACAACAAGCATTATACTGGATTTTTAATAATAAAACTGATTATTGGTTATGATTATTGATTGATTATTGATGCTCATTGGTTTAAGCAATAGTTCTCTTTCAAAATGTTAAATTTTCCATAAGCCTGATATCATGTTTTTATGTGTATATATTATGTGTGAATATACTCTCTAAATTATGTGATTGCTGTCATATTACTAAAAAGTGCATTAAAATACAACTGTAAAAAAGTCTTATTCATTGTAAGTTGTCATAAAAAGCAACTACTTAAATAACATCCAGTTTATTAGGAACACAACACGTGTGAATCACACGATATCCGTCTTTGAACTCGCATCATCTTGGATAGCATGCTTTTCGTCCTCTTGAAAAATTACACGCATGCGCAGTATCATCAGCTCATCGGTTCTCAAATCGGATGTGTCCGAAAGAAATGGTTCTCGGTTCAGTATACTGGTGATCCGAAAACCGATGCAACCGGTTCTTGACTCGAGAACGAGAAACGCTCTAACCGGCACGCTGCACGCACGTTCAATATCATCAGCTGCTTTACTCCTGTCGTGTTCATGTTCTATTTATTACAAACTCAATTTGTGAATGTGTCATTGTAAACTATAATTAATTACAGTACAGGTATTTAGTTCAACCGGTTCACTAAGAAGAACCGGTTAAATCGAACGATTCGTTCGCGAACCGGACATCACTATTGTAGACCGCTTCAAGCTGTTGCAGCACGACAACGGTAACGACCGGCGTAGACACGGTTCAGTTTGTCATACTGACGCAAATTTTAAACTAGTCGACATACAAAGAAAAAGATTACACACATCTGGAACACACAAACTATAATTACATTTTCAGACGCAGCTAAAGCTAGTGTTAACGTTAGCTACCGTGAGCATTAGCACAAACGTAACTTTTAAAACAATGTTGTTTGATATGACAAATACATAAAACCTGAGCGAAAATGTGCACATTCAAATACTGAATGGCTACTCTAAACTGAATTTTATTTTAAAGTTTTATTTACCTCAGTGTAGCGCTCAGATCCCGTCCACAGCGAGAGACAAAATGGCGATGGGCGCGAATTGGTTTCTTTCGAAAAGGGGCGGGGTTTCTGAAGAAAACATAACTACTTAATTTAGCTTCAACATGATTAATTCTATATGGTTGAACATCCTTACAGAATAAATACATGGTACATGATTAAAATATGTTTAGATGAGAAGCATAAATTAATCATGTAAGAAATGCGAAATGCATATTTAAAAATTCAACAACCTCCCCATTGCCATTTTTCCAGTGTAACTTACTCGGACTCGAGTACAATTTTTTAAAGGACTCGGATTTGTCACGGACTCTGATGCATTTTTACTCGGACTTGACTTGGAAAATATGTCCGAGTCCACGGACAGTTGACGGAAATGTCACTATCAGTATCACAAAATTGATATTCAGTATTTGCATGTGTTTTTAAGTGTTGTCCAGTACTTGAAAGCCGACGGGTTTCTGCGCTCACAGACCGAAAGCGCGCTCACAGAATAACACGCCTCTCAGTCAGTGTGCGAATGCCGAGTTCTCTCGCTTAAAGGGGTCATGTGATGTGATTTCTATTTTTCCTTTTCTTTACTGTGTTATGTAGCTATTTGTGCATGTATAAGATCTGCAGAGTTACAAAGCTCAAAGTCTCCCACAAAAGGATTTATT